GTATCACTTTCTTCTGTGTCTCCTGCTTGAGGCCATTTTCTGCCACTGCCTCTATGTCTGGCTGCCCCTGCACTAATCAATCTCATCGTGTTATGTTGAAAGCGTACAGTGAATTTCCCCAAATGGGACAATCACGTTTGAGTTGAATGGAATAAAGTGCTAAATACTGTGTTTCTCTTTTTTATTTAATGTATACTCTATTATGCTCCATTTAGTACTAGTTTTTAACAAGGTTCCCTTCATACAAGTAATGATTTATTCTGAGCATCCTTATTTTACATGTACAAGATTACTTTTAAAATTATTTTTAAATTATTTTCTTTATATGTAGTATTTAGAGGGTTGTAGTAGTTCAAGTAGGGAGCTGTGTCAGCATGGATAGGCTGCAAAGGAACAGGTAAAGGTTTATTCCCTGCTGAAAGGAAAAGAAAAGAGACAACGTTTTGCCCGTGGAGCCTTCAGACAAAACATTGTGCCTTTTTTTTCCAGCACGGAATAAACCTTTACTTGTATTTGGAGGGTAGCCAAATGCCTCTCAGTGTTACAGGCAGTTTGATTCTTACTTACTTCCAGTCTCTTGGACTTAAAACATTTTTATGATTCAATTCTTTGAGTCATTTCAATTTTAATTCAAGGAGCAAAAACTCGATTGGTCCACCCACCTCAGAGCCTGAATACACCCTCAGTGAGCTGATAAACACTAAGGGAGTTGACATACAGGCTGACAAAAAATAATTGGTTTAGTCATAGGTCCTGAGTAAACAAGCCATTAAACACATATCGACAGAATCAGCTGTTAAAGAAGCCGACACCAGCCCAGAGTGCAGACCAGGACATTTCACAGGGCTGTAGCAAAGTATCTGTGATAAAATTGAGCAGATCACAGACATGAGACCTTCTACTGCTTGTACTGTTTTGCACGAGACCGAATATTGTATTACTGGTAGATATTACTTCATTCTCTCAATCAGAATGTGTTCTCCTGCACTACATGAATGATGAATTACAACAGAGAACTCACTGTGTGAAGACATGAATCATTGCAGGCTTTCTGAGCATATTTATTGCAGTCACATACTGTATGAGAGCTGATGAAACGGGCACCTTCTATGTGCACAGTAATATCTAGCTTTGTTGGGTTGTACACTCAGTTCAAAATGGATTGAATTGATTCTTTTTTTGCCATCAATACCCCATAATGACAAAGCGAAAACACGTTTTTTAGGAATTTTTTGCAAATTTATTAAAAATAAAACCTGAAAACTGACCAGTTTCCCAGTCCCTGCCACTGAGAAGCATCCCCACAGCACGATGCTGCCACCACCATGCTTCACCGTAGGGATGGGATTAGCCGGGTGATGAGCAGCTGATTTTCATCAGACATGGCGTTCGGCATTCAGGCCAAAAAGTTCCATTTGTCTCATCAGACCAGAGAATCTTTGTCCTCATGCTCTCAGAGTCCTTTAGGTGCCATTTGGCAAACTCCAGGCAGGCTGTCACATGCCTTTTACTCAGGAGTGGCTTCAGTCCAGCCACTGACCAGCTACCCCACAGTCTGGTACGGCAGCTGCACCGCATCCAACCACAAGGCCCTGCAGAGGGGGGTCAGAGCTGCCCAACACCTCATCCGCAGTGCCTTACCACCCATCCGGGAAATCGACAACACCAGCTGTCCGGAAAAAGCCACCAAAATTATGACCGTCCCCACTCACCCCAGTCACAACTTGTTTGCCCCTCACCATCTGGTAGAAGGTTCTGGATGATCCAGTCGCACACAACAAGTCTCCGAAATAGCTTCTTCCCCAGAGCCGTCAAACTGGTGACCCCCCCACTCCCACCCACCAAACTATGAGCTCTCCTCACTTCTTCCTGTACTCCTACACCACTACATGCACCATACAGTACCTCCAACAACTGAATGTAAGACAGACTGGAACATAAAACTTTACTTGACTGAGTTGTTCAATTTGATAATGCTGTATTATTTTGCACTGTTTGCTCCGTTTGTGTACTTTTGCACGGTTTTTTAACAGATATGGGTACTGTCATACTGGTACCATACTCATTGTTTACATTGTTATTGCATTTTCTGTCTATTGTCTTGTCTGCTGTCCTGTATATATTCTGCACCTGAGAGACTAATGAGAAACACTTTTCATTATACTACGCACCTGTGTAAGTATAATGACAAAGTTGAATTGAATTGAGACCTAATTGATGGCGGGCTGCAGAGATGGTTGTCCTTCCGCCAGCTTCTCCCATCTTTACACAGCAACTCTGAAGCTCTGTTAGAGTGGCCATTGGGTTCTTGGTCACCTCCCTGACCAAGGCCCCTCTTGCCCGAATACCCCATTTGGCTGGACGGCCAGCTCTAGGATGAGTCTTGGGGGTTCCAGACTTCTTCCATTTGACAATGACGGAGGCCACTGTGTTCCTGGGAACCTTCAATGCATTTCCAATTTTTTAATACCCTTTTCCAGATCTATGCATTGACACAATCCTATCTCAGAGATCTCCAGAGAGTTCCTTGGACTCCATGGCTTGGTTTGTACTCTGCCATGCACTGTGAGCCGTGGGGCCTTCTAAAGACAGGGGTGCGCCTTTCTAAAGCATGTCCAATCGAGTGGATTTGCCACAGGTGGACTACAGTCAAGTTCTAGAGACATCTCAAAGACGATCAAAAGAAATTTGGAGTGTCAGAGTAAAGTTACTTATGTAAATGAGAGATTTCAATCTTTTATTTTTAATGAATTTGCAAAGTTGTGGACTCTACAACACAAAAAAAGTGTGGAAAAAGTGGAGGGGTCTGAATTCTTTCTGAAGGCGCTGCAAGTAGAATTCAGTGTTTTTTGGTACAGTTTGTACAAGGCCACCTCCCCATCGGTGATGACCGCATTCTGTAATGAAGCACCTGCAATGCTCATTTCAGCACTATTTTGTTTGTTTGGGACTGTGTGGTGTGAATGTTCAGTATCTTCATGCATTTTTACTCTGAGGCTAAAGGTTTACATACACTGCCATTTAAATATCGAAGCTCAATAAAACTTGTGCACAGGCTCATGTCTTCTGTGCGGATGGACTAATTATTACCAACAATAACCGGCAATAGGGCTGCATGCTGTTGCAGTGGTTAACATTGGTGCCTCGCAGTGCTGGGGCCCTGCATTCGATTCTAGGCCTGGGGTGCTGTCTGTGTGGAGTTCGCATGTGCTCACCATGTTCGCATGGGTTTCCTCTGGGTGCTCCAGTTTCCTCCCACAGCCCAAAGACATGCTGGTGGTTTAGTTAATTGGCTTCTAGGTAAATTGGCCTTGGTGTGTATACGTCTGTGTCTGTCTGCCATGTG